CAAGTACACACACCCTACAATCCAAAGAGAGGAAAGCTTACAATCCAGGGCCCTCAAAGGCTCCTACAAACAAAACAGCACTGGTTGTAACCCAGCCTGGGCCACATCTCCCACAGACCCCTGCACATTTGCTGAGTATATAATGCGAGGACCATCAAAGATCAGGCAACATTTTCCCTCTCATTTTCCTGGTCATCCATTCAGCTTCTGCAAGCTTTCTGCTTCCATTGTAAAGTGCTTGTCTGTTGGCAGAAGAACACATTCTCCCGGACGAATCCATCTGTCAGTCTGAAGATGCTGACTGTGGACAGTCTGGGACAGCAGGAGGAGCTCTGGGCAGGAAAGCGGACTTGACTGTCTGGGTTACCTGCTGCTTGTCTTCTGGTTTCACTTTCCTCTTTTGTAAAATGATGCAGCTGCCCTGCCTGTTCTCTCCCATCCCCAGAGTCTGTGATGCTTTAATCCAGACCTCTCCTTAGCCTTGTCTAATTCTTTCATGATCAAGCAAGAAGGAAGTAGACTTCCAGACAACTTTGTGGGCATCAGAAGTAGGGCAGCACCAGACAGGAGCCTGGGAGAGGGACAGAGGGCAGGATATTGGGACAGATCAGGCACAGAGTCCACAAAGCCAATGGCCCAGAAAGCATCCATGAATATAGGAGATTTAAGTGTTCACATGGGTCAGCAGTATGAGTCTGCCAAGAATTGACTGTGGGCCTCCAAGTTGAACCTTAACATATAGGATACAGGGGCTGTTTTCAGTATTTGGGAGCACTAAGCATACTGCCACTCCATGTAAACACTCAAGGTATCGGTCCCCTGCCTCTGTACTAGTGTGCCCACCTGGAGACAGTGGGATGCCATCCTTAATGTGGCCAATTATTTCAGCTCCCTATGTCTCTGAGGTTTTTTTGCAAAATGAGTGAAAACAGCAGTGTGTTTGTTAGGGGTTGAGTGAAGATTGCTTGACTTAATAAATACACTCATGCTTCAGTTGGCCATGGGAAGACAGTCTGAGAATGCATTGATATGTGAAATTGATTATGGATTCATCATTGTGCGGATAGCATAAAGTGCTTAAACTAAAATGGCTGCAGTGTTCGCCAGCTACTCTAGAGAATACACGAGGCCTCCATTGTACATCCATGACAGAGATGTATGTTGTGTAAATCTGTTATAGCAATGTCTTCTCTTCTTTGATGTCTGTTGAATTTTTCTACTACCAATATGATTTTCAGGGTTGAGGATACAGCTCAGCTGATAGGGTACTCACTTAGCATACACAAAGCCCTGGATTTGATTTCTGGTACTATATAACCAGGTATAATGGTGCATGCTGTAATACCAGCATTATAATACCAGAGAGGTGGAAGCTGAAGGATTGGAAATTCAAGGTCATCCTTAGCTATATTAGGAGTTCAAGTCTAGCCTGAGCTATAGGAAAATGTCTCAAATAAATAAATAAATAAATAAACCTCTAGGAGTGAATTAAACTGAAGCACTTTTGATCTAGAGGAATAAAATGTAGAGAGACTCGGAAACCTGTCATTTGAAGATGGATTGAAACCAGTTTGTTGGTCAAGGCTTACCCAAGGTTGGGGTTGGTGAGGAAGGGACCTTGTAGAGACAGACAGTAAGAGACCAAGCTAAAAAGGGATAGGAAAAGAGGTGAGAGTTTCCAGGAACCCCAGAGGCAGATGAGCTGGGCTGAGAGAGCCGCATGGGAAGCCATCGAGCACCACTGCTGTGGCTGCAGACACTGGGGCTGAACTTCGGAGAGGTGTCTGTAATGCCAGAGCGCTTGGGCTCTTTGTAAGGTCCCTGGCATCCCTCAGATTGTCTTCACAGAATGTGGGTGGCAGAGAAATCAGGGAGGATAGAGGGAACCCAGGCTGGCAGAGTCAAGGAAATATGTTGCCCACATGTGCTTTTCATGCAACTGTGCCAAAGCACATCCTTTACCCTGTGGAGGCCAAATCCCACTCCCAGCACTTACACTGAGCCAGCACGGTACTTTTAAAATTAGAAAATATGCCATTGGAGGGCTGGGGATGGCTCACTCAGGAAAGTGTTTGCTGTAGCAGCATGAAGACCTGAATTTGATTACCAGAATCTGTGTAAAAAGTGAGGCATGGGCCGTGTGTTTGTACTCCCAGCACCGTGGGGGAAGAGACAGTAGGATCTTTGGGGCTTGCTAGCTAGCCAGTCTACCCCCCAAAACACCAAGTCTTCAATCCCAGTGTCATACCCCATCCCTGAAATAATAATAATAATAGTAATAAGACTCAAACAGCAAAACAAAAAGATAGAAAAGTGAGAAAGGGACTTGTGATTAGACAGAAGGGTCACCAGGGATAGGAGGAACACAAGGAAGGGTGAGGGATGAGAATAATCAGAATTCATTATATACATGTAATCAAAGAACTAATTTAATAAAAGCTATAAAGGAAATTAAGAGATCAAAACTAGCTGATAAGGTTATTGCGTTCAAGATTGTTTTGTGACCATGTACATATATACACACCCACACAGAAAGGGACAGAAGGGGGGAGGAGCAAAAGAAAGAAAGAGAGGGACAGAAAGAGAGAGAGAGAGAGAGAGAGAGAGAGAGAGAGAGAGAGAAGAGAAAACAAGTTGTTTGGAGAGGTTTGTCAGAAAAGCTAGAATTCCAAGCTTGTTTTGACAATATAAACAATGCATAAAAAGCTTCATGTGACTGTTTGGAACTAAGGGGTACTGCTGCTAAGGGGTACAGCTTCTGGGTTGTTCCTGGGATGACAGTGTTTCTGAAGGTGTTCTGTCAGGTCTCCAGAACAGAGTCTGGAGTTACTATTCAGTTAGTAGAGCATGCAGAAGGCCCTGGGTTCCATCCACAGCACCATGTCCACAGCACATCTGTAATCTCAACCCTTGGGAGGTAGAAGAAACAGGATCCAGGTCATCCTCCAGCACAACAAGCTGAGGACCAGTCTTGGCCACATGAAACCCCATCACAAATTCATAAAAACAGGGCCAGTGAGTTGACTCAGTGGATATGGGTGCTCTAGGCCAGCCTGGGTGCCTGAGTTCAGTGCCCTGCCCCGCATGTTGAAGGAGAGGACACTCCCAAGGGTTGCCATTTGACCTCCTACATGCCCACCCCCTCAACACAAATAAGTCAATATAATTATAACATTTAAAAATTAAATAATAAAAAGAAAGAGAACTTGCCCGTCCACTCAGATAATGACTGGTAGGAATTTCGCAAGCTACCCAGCACTCTTTCATGGCTCCAGGAGCCAGTAGCAGTCTTTCAGGTGACAAAATGAAGCTTCAGAGACATTTCGAGCAAACAGTTTACCGGGATGGGTGTGTTGCTTTCCGGCCTTCTGCACGGATAATCACGCTTGGGAGAGACAGCACTCAGGCCGAGGTCTGAATGGTGAGTGACAGAATCTTAGGCTTTCTTATGGCTGGTTTGGGAGTCAGCAGAGCAGCAAAAGGAGTCATGTGACCCACTGCCCACTTACCAGAGCAGTTCTCCTACTAGCATACACAGCCAAGTGTCAATCACTAACGCTCGGGCTAGCAGAGACCAGGCCCCAGAAGGTCTTTTCGAAAGGCCAAAACCATCTTGAGAAGCAGGAGACTCAGGCAGCCAGCAAATATCCTGAGGATGGGGTGCTTCCAGAAGGTTCCCAGGCCCCCATCCCCCACGTACTAATAGCTCTGGGATGTGTTCATTCTTAGCTCTTAGTAAACACAGCTGTCGTGATTGTGATCTGCCCAGAGGCTTTCCACTATTACTCTAGCTCTAACAACTTGGCAGCTGGTGTGGGAAGAATGGCGTGGAGATAGTAAAAAGCCTGCTTTCCCAGAGCAGGGAGAGGGCAACGAGGGTCGGCCTTGGCAGCGTACAGAGCCCATCTAGGTGTGCAGAGCCTGTGCTTCACAAGGAGGAAGAGCTAGGTAGATCCCTAATAGTCTAAAGGAGTCTGGTGCCCAGGAAATCGTACGAGAAAGCCAGGGGACATACACAGAAAGTGTCGTTAAAGCGTTGCAGGCCTTAGAGAGATGGCCCCGTCATCTTGTTGTGCTCTTGTTGTGCAAACATGAGGCCCTCTGTCCCCAGAATCCACATGAAAAGACCAGGCATGGGGGCATACCCTCATGATCCCCTTACTCGAGAGGCAGAGACAGGAGGACCCCTGGGGCGCACGGGCTAACCAGTCTAGCTTATTCAGTGAACGCTAGTGAGGGGCTGTGCCTCAGAAATAAATGTCGATGATGCTTGAGGAAAACCACATGAAGTTGTACTCTGGTTTTCAGATGTGTTTATATGCACACATGGTCTACATAGTTGTTTTCATCTGCTGTAGAAGGTAAAGACTGTTCATGGACTGGAGAGATGGCTCAGTGGTTCAGAGCACTGGATGCTCCTCCACAGGACCCACATAGTGACTCACAACTGTCTGTAACTCTAGCTCCAGGGGATCTGTTGCCTTCTTCAGGATCCTTCAGGCGCTGTGTGCCCATGCTGCAAAGACATACACGCAGGCAAAACACCCATGCATATAAAATAAAATGAGTTAATTAATTTTAAAAAAAAGAAGAATGATCGTGCAGAAGGATGGATCCATATGTCTCGGAATTTCTGTGCTCTGATGGCCACAGCCCTCTGAATAGGACATGGATCAGTGGATGTAACTATGTTATTTCCCCTCCAGTTAGATCAAGGGTGTGTTAGATCAATTTTTGTAGTTGTTCTGTTTTGTTTGTTTGTTTGTTGTTGTTTGGGGGAGTTGTTTTGTTTTGCTTCCCTTTTGAAAGTGGTCAAAGAATTGTCTTGGGCCAGGGGTGTCCAACCCAACCCAAAGCCTGCAGGTTTGTGTTTTCTTTTATGTGGCCCAGTAATATGACCCTGTCATCTACATGTCTAAAAAACAATGACAAGAAAATCGCATCATCTTTTAAGTGAGCTGTAGCTTTGGATTGGGCAGCATTCACAACTACTCTGGGCCACCGGCTGGGCGTCCCTTCCCTAGGTAAATCACAGGGTTGATAGGGCAAGTCTACTGACGATGGAAAGGCTTGAGGAGACTGACCTGGACCTGCCCTTTCAGACTGGACTTGGTTGAGCCCAGGGAAGATGGCCTCACTGGTAGGTGCTGAGATATTGGTCAGTGGCCAAGCTGCATAAGCACTGTCCATTTTCCGCACACAGCTCCTCACAGAGATGAAGTCCAGGGCATGGAGAGATGTCAAAAGGGCTGTGCCCATATCAGCCTAAAGAAGGCATCCTGGGGATAGAAGAAACTTGGGGTTCTTCATTTAATTCTGAACAACAACAACAAAAATCTTTGTGGTCACCTGGTTCTGAAGCCCTAGGAGAATGGCGCTTATTTCTCAGAGGTTGAGATACGCCCTTAGAGAGCACCAAGGGGAGATGGCGCAGCATATAAAGAGCTCGCTGAGAAAGTGTGAGGATCTGGGTTCACATCCCTGGCTAGCACCTGATGGGGGCAGGGTAGGCCTGCCCGTGCACATCTGGTTTCTCAGCACTTGAAGCTCACCAGCCTGCCAGTCTAGTTGGCGAGCACCAGGTTCAGTGAGAGACCCTGTCTCAGAAGAATCCAGTAGAGACCAATAAAGAAAAGCATCTGATATTAATCTCTGCCCTTCGCTCTGCACCACCACCATGTCCCGCCACAAGCAAGAATACCTTGATACAAGTTCTCTGTGATTCTTAAATCTCAGCACTCAGAACCTCAGCCAATGCAGCAAAATCACAACAGCAAGAAGGAAGCAGAGGGTTGGGTTTCTGCTTGCATCTTGGAGAGAAAAGCTAAGTAGATTTTTTTTTTCCTTTTGGAAGCATTGGCACCTAAGTGGCTTCCCTGCCAACCAGAAAGCTGGAGGAGTCATATTTGTGTAGAAACTCAAGTCATGGGGTTTGCCCATGTGGAACCTGCTACATCTATGCAGAGCCATGTCACCAAGCCCTTGGAACAGGTCCTGCAGGGATGGAGCCTATTGACAGAGTTTTATGTTAATATGGGTGTTATATTAACACACATATAACATGAATGTATATATGAAGAGAAGGCTTGACAGCGTGGGCTCTCTGTTGGAAGCAGAATCCATTGTTTTATTACAAGAAGTATCGTGACACTGAGGAATAGTGATAAAGCAATTTAGAAAATATTTTTGAGTGTAATAACATCCATGCTTCTAAAATCGTATTTAGCATCAATGTGTAATTTTATGCTTAAATAAAAATCCTATAGGCAGCATATGCTCATGAATTCTGGCTGTGGCTGTGCAGCCCTGTGTACTGAATGAGCCCATCTGTCCTCGGGATGAACCAGAGCCCTGATCTCCTCAGAGGAGGGTAAAGTTCCAGGGCAGCCTGGTAGCCCTGCTGTGTTAAAATGTTTATGGAAAGGCTGCCCTTGACATCCCCCTTCTTTGACCCTTTTTCTGACTGGACTGGGATCCTTTGGACATGACCGTGCTAACGTCTGAGGGTCCTTACCACACCCAGTGAGGTCATCACAATGGTTATGACATCCTTGGGACTATAAATCCCAGTTTGAAATGACAGAACTGAGGTGTCTAGGATGGAGTGGCAGCTGAGTTGGCGCTTGTCTTGCAAATCTGACCCCTAAAATCCACCTGAAGCTGTGTGTTGTGTGTACAGGAGGGAGTGGAGACAGGTGGATACCTTGGGTTAGCTAGCCAGCCAGCCTAACTGGTTCCAGACCAGTGAGAGGCCCGGTCTCCAAATAAATAAATAAAGACAAGGTGGCCTATACTTGAGGAAAGGGCCTGAAATAGACCTCTGGTCTTCACAGGCACCTGCATGTGCGTACCTATACACACAGGAGCACGTCAGGTGGAGGCTAAGGCTGTCACAAGGTCAAGATTCGAAGGGAAGTATGAACTCTAGCCCGCCCTGGACTGAGGGAGATGGACTCCCACTCGTGACCTCCTCGTCCTCCTGGCTAGTTTTTCAGATCTCAAGAACTTGGCCAGGCTCTGAGGGAAGGTCTCCCGCCATCAAAGCTCGAGATGTTCTTCATGACCAAGACTTTCTGTGCGTCTGTCTGTCTCTCTCTCCTCCTGATTTCTGAGGCAGAGGGGCCTCCAACAGCTCATTTTGGAGACCCGACCGTTGTGCGGGCTGCTGGACCATAAACTGTCTAGGCAGGAGGCATGGACTGGATTCTAACACAGTCCTTGACCAGATCCATGTGACACTGGCCCCTCTGCTTTCAGCAGGCCGTCGGAACACTGACTCTGCTGGCCTGGGTGGATGAGCCTGCCAGTGTTTGCTCACTGCCGTTTGACTTCAAATCCACCCTAAATCTCTGGGAAAATGGATGTGGGACCTGGAAATGTTTGTCCTTTGCAGCTGGCACTAGAGCTCTGCCTGGAGAGGCACTGAGAGGGTGCTTCTGGGGCACAGTGATTGTGTGACTCATTCACCAGAAGCTTCTGCGGCATAAAGATGAAGAGGAGTGGGAGACAGTGGGGAGGAGAGGAGGGGAGGGGGGGGGAGAGAGGCGAGGGGAGGGGGACATGAGGTCAGAGCTTAGTGTCAGCCTGAGACTTTGGCTATGAGAAGCAGAAGTACAGGAAGTCTTACCCTCTGCAGCTCCTCTCTAACTTACCTTCCCAGAATCCACCACACAAGCATCCGTGGGGCCCCAGGTCAAGGTCATGCTGCAGTTAAAAGAAGCGGCTGTTAGGCTTGGAGAAATTGCTGAAGTGAAGTGCTTGTGCAAATCGGAGGGCCTGAGTTTTCATTCCCAGAACCTGCATAACAGCTCACTCAGTGGCAGGGTGGAGCCCTGTGGAAAGATGGGGTCCCCCAGAAACTGTAGTCAGCTAGCCTGCTGTACTCAATGAGGACTCAGTCTCAAAACAGGGTGGAAAACCAACACAGGACTGATACAAGGATGACCCTCTGACTGCCATGCCCACACTCTGGCATGTGTATGCCCCCCTCACATACACACGCGCACACACACTCACACTCACATTTTAAGTGGAGGCCTTAGATACAGAACAGAAAGTGTTTCCAAGTCCTATCACCAGCTCCCTGTGTGCTTTTGTGTCTGACATTTACTCGGTGTCTGACCTGGAGGCCCTTACATACAACTCAGGGTTGTCTGACTTGCTTAGACAATGGTTAGGAGTCAGGCCTGCCACATGGCCGTGGTTATGTGATGACTGTTGCTAAGGTGTCTGAACCCATGCAGACTGAACTGGCTGTCATTTACTCCTCTTGTCTCTGAATCCTCAGGTTCTGTGTAGCTGCCCTCCCCTTCCTCCTTTTCCCACGTTTTCCCATCCCCTGTTCTAGCCACCTTTTCTTTGGCTTCTCTCAGCCCTTCCACTGGGTGTTGAGACTCTTTGCCGTAATGGATTAGCAACGGTCTGGTGATGGGGTTGTGAAATCTTATGCGCGGGGGGGCCTTTCAGAAATGCATATGTCTGTTCTGAATAGCCTGATCTCTTTCCGGGCTTGTCTCCACTCCCCATCTAGAATCAAGTATTCCTTCCCAGATTTAGTCTTTCAAGAGTAAAATAAGAAGCAAGTCTTACTGTGCCTGTGACCAAATGACAGATGAGTCACAGTTTAGCTACAGACTCTGAGCTCTCAGTCTAAGTTCCTTGTCCTGGCGAAGAGACATCTGTAGACATCTTCACCCGCTGGATCAGGGAGTCGGAGACCCTTTCCTGTAGACACACACAGGCAGGGACAGCCCGCCAGCCTCGCTATGTACCTCACGTCTCATCCTCATGGGGCCAGGACTCCCGCCCTGAGGTCACATGGCCTGAACCTTGGGTTTTCTGAGGACAGGCTCCCATTGGTCATGCTCACATAGGCATCCCTAGTGCCCAGCCACACCCAGGCCAGGGGAGAGAGAAAATGACTATCTCTAGAAAATAAAATGCAAATATTCAAATGGCGCTGGACCGAGGGAGGAACATGAAGGCTGTTCCTACTGTTCTCTGTTAAGACTCAGCTCTCTTCGCCCAAAGGGTCGGAAGAGCGGTGTTTGCATCTTAGAGCTGTGTTCTTATGATGAGGTTATGGCTTTGCCTGTCTTCTTCTTGCCCTGTGATCAAGGGGCAGGCTTTGTCAAGCCAGTTTTGTCACGTGTGATAAAAGACATGCTATGTAAGTCATAGGACTGTGGAAATAAGAAAGTCATGAAGGCTGTGCTGCTCTGTGTGGTGTGGAGAGGGCCCTCAGGGACATTTCCTCCGAGCTTCCTTTCCCAAAGACAAGGACTGTGTCTGGAGTTCATGCTCTGTTGCTATGCTATCACAAAATACCAGAGCTGGGCAACTTAGAAAGAAAAAAGGTTTATTCCGCTCACAGTTCTGGAGAGTCAAGAGCTTTTGCTCGGTGTGGCTGAAATGACAAAAGACATCCCAGCAGCAATAGCACAGTTGTGTTGGGAGGAGAGCACGTGATGAGACAGGAAGCTGGAAAGACCCCGTCACGTCCACTGTGGGTCCTCTGGTGGGAACTGCAGGAGTCCCATGAGACCTGCACAGGTCTCGAAGTCACCCTCCCCAGAGGCAGAACTGCTCTCCTACCCCTGGTAGCTTCCACCACCACTCAGGGACTGAGATTATACACAGAAATTTCCAAACCACAGCAGCCTTCAGACCAGAGATGTTTGTCATTAAGAAAGAGATTGTGAAATCATTTCCTGCCTGGTATATCCCACGTCTACCCCCAACCTACCACCTTTCTTGGATTTCATCTGCGAAACAGACATAAGGAGACCGCAGAAGACTAGAGACAGGTGTAAGCCAGAAGCATGCTCATAGCATATTCTTGCTGCACTTAGTCTTCGGTAGATGGTAACGATGAATATCGCCGAATATGAATATTTTAAAATCTGAAATAGACACACAAGCCCCTGTGTTAAAGGCTCGGTTGTCAACCTGTGGTGCCATGTGCGATGATGTCCTTACAGGTGCCATTGAGGATTCTGCACTTTACACGGGAAGGTTGCAGGTAACAGGAATCTTTTGGCAGGGGGCACGCCGCTTCTCAAAGGCCTCATTATATAACAGGCATCCAGTGTCGGGTGTGTTTCCTACCAGACTTGTTTGTGCCGCATACCTGAGTGGTATTTACATAATTATATTAACCATCATTCAAGCTGATAAAATCACACTCAAGAAGCCAAAGCATTTGTTTCTTTACAAACTTAGGCTTTAACTTTGGGATTTAGTAAAGGTTAGACTTTTACAAAATGCCATTTAATTCTGGGTAACAAAGACACCACTAAAATAATGGAGGAAACACACACACACACACACACACACACACACACACAGCTGAGTTTGCATGTACCTTGCTCTGCAAGTATTTATGCATAACCACAGAACCTTGAAAAAGCTTAACTATTCTTTTTAGAGTGCTAGTCTAGAATGCGCGAAGTCTTGGGTTTGATCTTCACCCTCCCCCATAAACAAGGTGTGCTAGTGAAAGCCTATCTCAGCACTCAGTTTACCAAGGTAGAAGGGTCAGAAATTCAAGGTTATTCTCAGCCGCATAGTGAGTTCAAGGCCAGCCTGGGGCTACAAGAGAAGCTACCGCAAAAAGAAGGCAGGTGCTGGGTGGTGGTGGTGGTACACACCTTTAATCCCCCGCACTTGTGCAGCAGAGACAGGTGGATCTCTGAGTTTGAGGCCAGCCTGGGCTATAGAGTGAATTCTGGGACAGCCAGGACTGCACAAAGAAACCTGTCTCAAAAAAGGGGGAGTGAGGGGGATGAGATGGAAGAGAAGGAAGGGGAAAGAGGAGAGGAATGAAGGAAAGGAGGAAATTAACTGTAGAGACTGCATTGTAGTTTAGGCTAGATAAAGTATTCCCTGACTATAGGCATCTCTTCATTTCCCCCCAGTTCAAGGACTCTTTTATTAGCTGATGACTTTCTCTTCTCTGTAATTTTCTTAGTGCTGGGCAAGTGCTTTACGACCGAGCCACATCCCCAGCCCTTTACCGTATTTTTCCATCCCTATGTTGAGTAAAACAGAGTAGTGATGTTGACTATGAATAAGCAAGAATAGCCATGGAGAGCCATTGGTACGTTTCCCTCAGCGTTTAATTTTCTATGCTTATTATTTAAATGACATACAATTTAATGAACCATTTTTCTTACAAAACACCAAACCCCTCTGATAGAAATCGAGCCCCGAGAGGAGGTGTTCACCAGTATCTCCTCGCTCCCCTGGCCTCAACAGGAGCCTCTCCTTCTGCCATCTGCCCTGGGCTAGTTTCAATCCTACTATACCCACTGCAGCCCGCTGGTGAAAAGTGTCCAGTGTCTAGTGTCAGAACACTAAAGCAGGCCCAGTAACTCTGGCCCATATGCCTGTTACCTGTTTGTGTATGGCTGTGACCTCAGCATGGCTTCTACATTGGCAAATGGTTGAGGAGGGCAAGCATCAAGGGTTTTGATGGCAGAGCTGAGCATCTACCACCACCCTAAACTACCGATCCAGAGACTCTACTTGTTTAAGAGCTAGGTAGGCAGATGCCGACTGGGCCTGACTTAGCCATCCTTCTAGGCACCTGCTACTTCTGGCCCCTGTAGTTCTCCCTTTCCACCATTCTGAGCATTTTCTTGCCCTTTAAAGAAGGTGCTGGATGTTAATTAGCTTTGTTTTCTCAGGGTTTTAGTCTTCTTCACTTGCTTAGTAGTCGCCAACCCTTGTTTATTTAATAAATCATAGAAGACACTGTGGAATCAAGTGTCAGATATTCAAAGGGCAATGGCAAGACTGGGCAGGTAGCTCAGTTGGTTGAGTGCTCTCCTGGCATTCACGAAGTGCTGTGGTAGATTCCCAACACCACACAGAAGCAGACCTGGCAGCTCATCACAGGGTGGAAGTACAGGATGATCAGAAGTTCAAGGTCATCCTTAGCCACATAGCAAGTTCAAGGCTGACCTTGTTCTGGGGGTTGACTCAAGTCCTTGTGCCTGCATAGCCAACTAAATGAGCTGTCACCTCAGCTCGCCATAGATGATTTTGATGTTGAATTTGGATATACATCTCTAAAATGTAAGGATCTCTCTCTCTCTCTCTCTCTCTCTCTCTCTCTCTCTCTCTCTCTCTCTCTCCTCCCCCCGTCTCTCTCTCCCCCACAGTACCATTTTCACAACTGAACTTCATCACTAGTAAGGGTTTCTTTCTCATTTCTTTTCCTTCCTTCCTCCCTCCCTCCCTCCCTCCCTCCCTCCCTCCCTCCCTCCCTC